CCCACGTCGTTAATTTGATAGAGTAGATGTACAAGGAAAAGGATATATATATATATATATATACCTTAAAATATATATATATATATGCAGATGCAAAAGTATATCGTGTGTACCTTCTCGTTCAGGCAACAGCGGGCTGTCAGAGGAACTTGTTGATTGACAAACTACATAGCCAAATTGACAAAGAAGAAGAATGGCAAGAAAGGAAACAAGCTTAGGAAAGAGCTTATTAAGATAAAGCTTAGCCATTACTTTAGCTTGCAATGCGCTTCCCTTAAGACATACATTCTTTATAAAGACATTGTTTTACCATTCAAACTGTTATCAACTCTGAATCAATTACCTCACATTACCAAATTGTCCCTGTCCAAATATCAAAATACCTGAGAAAAGTAACTTGCAATATTATGCATGGAGGCCTAACAATTTTGGTTCAAGTAATTAAATTGCAAAATGATTCCAAAGCAGCATTTTTTTTAAATTGATTATCTCGTAGCTTTTAAAACGTTGTAAAATTTGCATATTTGAATTCATTCATGCATAATCAATGGGTAGTAATTATTCGAATATAATCAATAATTATGAGTTATTATGCATTATTAATCCAGCACTATTTTTTTTTCTAGTATCCTCTCCCATCTTATTGAATATATTACACTCAAAGAAACATCTCCCAAGCAATGTGAGCTTGTGGTTTATGTCTTTTATCTCACAACTCATAGAAAAATATCCATCACAACTTTTTTTATATATAATAATAATGGAGAGAATTATATTATAAAGCAGCCCATCAATTAAGTGGAGCTGAAAGATAAGACAGAATACAAAGAATCTGAAAAGAAAAGGAAAAAAAAAAAAACTATTTGGGTGCCTCACAACTAGCCACCAGTCTTCACACATGATACAATAAGCACGCCCTTCTTCCACTTTGGACCACAAGATGTCACTTTATAAGCACGCCCTTATTTATTTTTTTATAATAATGGAGAAAAAATTCCCTCCATATTGATTCCAAACTAAATAAAATAAACTTTAGGAAATAATTTATTTCTAATTGATATAGAAACTTTTAAAAAATATGTATAAAAGAATGTATTGTATATACAATCTAACACTAGATTTAAATTAGAAAACAAAATGATATAAAAATCATTCAGTGGAATTGCCAGAAGAAATAACCATTGTTATAAAATTAATTATTAAAATTTACATTTGTTTTATTAAAACTTGATATATTATCAAATAATCTTTTAAATTAATAATTTATTTATCTAAATATTTTTTTTAAAAGTGAATCACGTGCAGAGCACTTCATGTAATTACTAGTGTCTCCCAAGATTTAAGTTTAGTTTCGAGACTTGATTGATGTAAGCTGGAAACTAAGAGCTACTGATTTAAGACTGCTTCTGCTAAGATTAAAGGAAAACATAAACATGGTGGTAATTATAATTGAAAACATGAAACTATATATATATATATTGACCATCCGGTC